AATTGCTTTCTCACCTTTTTCTTTGACTCTTGTCAGATTCTCTCACTCAATCCTTTGGAGATGATTGGTTCAGCTAAACTTTCCCAAGGGCTTTATCTTCTACATGCAGATATGATTTCTTTACCCTCTTCTTAAATTCATTTGGCCTCTGCAAGTTCTTCAGATTCTACCTTATGGCATTTACGTTTGGGACATTTATCTGATTCTACCATTTCTGTATTACATAAGAATCACCCTGAGATATCTTGTACTCCTCATGCTTTACCTTGTGATAGTTGTCATTTTGCTAAGCAGAAACGTTTAACTTTCCCTGTAAGCACAAGTTCATCTAATAAAATTTTCGACTTAATTCATGTTGACATCTGGGGTCCTTTTTCTGTTTCCTCTGTTCATGGTCATCGGTATTTTCTTACAATAGTTGATGATTTTTCTAGATATACTTGGATTTATCTGATGCATTCTAAGTCTGACACACGTACACACATTAAAAATTTCTTAGTTTTCATTGAAAACCAATTCTGCACTACTGTGAAAACTATACGGTCTGACAATGGCCTTGAATTTAACATGCCTTCTTTTTACAATTCAAAGGGAATAATCCATCAAACCTCATGTGTTGAAACTCCCCAACAGAATGGGGTAGTTGAGAGGAAACATCAACACATTCTTAATGTTTCTAGAGCATTACTTTTTCAGTCACAAATTCCTCTTTCTTACTGGTCTTTTACAATTATGCATGCCACATATATAATCAATCGTCTTCCCTCTCCTGTTCTCAAAAATTTAACTCCTTTTGAAAAATTACATTCTGTTCCACCTTCTTACTCTACCTTTAAAGTTTTTGGTTCCCTTTGTTTTGCTTCTACTTCATCTCAAAATCGTACTAAATTTGACAAAAGAGCCCGAAAATGTATTTTTTTAGGCATTCCCTCTGGATCAAAAGCTTTCATTCTTTTAGATTTGCATAATAATCAAATTTTTCTGTCTCGAGATGTCATTTTCCATGAACTTGTGTTTCCTTTTACCACTGTTTCTGCTCAGCAGGTTCCTTCTACAGATCCCACTATTCAGTCTCTCCCTACTTTCCTTGATGATGACTCTGATTTACCTGTCATTACCCCTCCATCTGTAACTCCTCCTTCGTCTAGCTCTTTCTCTTCTATTCCCAATTCTTCATCTATCCAGCCCTTACGTCGTTCCTCCAGATCACATCATCCTCCATCATATCTGCATGACTACCATTGTGCCCTCATGTCTACCACTGAACAATCATCACCAAAAGGTAATCCTAGGTATCCACTTTCTTCTGTTCTTTCCTATTCCTCTCTTTCCCCTGTCTATAAGAATTTTGTAATTGTTGTCTCTACCATTTCTGATCCTAAAACATACAATCAAGCTGTAAAACACTTAGTGTGGAGAGATGCCATGACTGCAGAAATTAATGCTCTTGAACAAAACCAGACTTGGGTTCTCACTTCCCTTCCACCTGGCAAAAAGACCATAGGTTGTAAATGGGTCTTCAAAACAAAATTAAAGGCAAATGGTGAAATTGATAGATACAAGGCTAGGCTAGTAGCAAAAGGTTACACCCAAATTGAGGGCCTTGATTATTTTGATACATTTTCCCCTGTTGCAAAGATGACCACCCTAAGGCTATTACTTTCCATTGCTGCTGCACAAAATTGGCATCTTCATCAACTTGATGTCAAGAATGCCTTTTTACATGGAGACCTTAATGAAGAGGTTTACATGGATCTACCCAAAGGCTTTTCCCCTCCTAAACCCAATCTGGTTTGCAAGTTACAGAAATCCATTTATGGTCTTAAACAAGCAAGTTGTCAATGGTATTCCAAACTTTCTTTTGCTCTAGTCTCCTATGGGTATACTCAATCTGCTTCTGACCATTCTTTGTTTTTCAAGGCTGTATCTACTTCATTCACTGTTATTCTTGTGTATGTTGATGATCTTGTTCTTGCTGGCAATGATATGGCTGAGATTAACCACATCAAACAGCAGCTAGACCAAGCCTTCACCATTAAGGATCTTGGAGACCTTCGCTACTTCCTAGGACTTGAACTTGCCAGAACAAAAGATGGCATTTTTCTTTCACAGCGTAAATTTGCCCTTGAGCTACTTGAGGATACTGGTTACCTAGCTTGTAAACCTGCCACTACTCCCATGGATCCCAACCTTAAGCTTTCTAAAGATAAAGGAGTGTTACTTGATGATCCTAAATCTTATAGAAAACTCATTGGTAGACTTCAATATCTTACTACTACTCGGCCAGATTTAAGTTTTGCTACTCAACAGCTCAGTCAGTTTATGTCAGCACCTAGGGATACACATTTACAAGCTGCGCATAGGGTCTTGAGATACATTAAGTCCTCCCCAGGTGCTGGGCTATTTCTCTCTTCTAGTTCTGATCTAAGACTCAAAGCCTTCAGCGATTCTGACTGGGCAAGCTGTGTTGATAGTCGTCGATCTGTCACTGGCTATGCCATCTTTCTTGGTTCTTCACTCATTTCATGGAAAGCAAAGAAACAGCCAACTGTTTCACGTTCTTCTTCAGAGGCTGAATATCGTGCTATGGCCTCCACCACATGTGAAGTTCAATGGCTTTTATATCTGCTAAATGATTTCAGCATATCTCATTTTGATCCTGCTTTTCTTTACTGTGATAACCAGTCTGCATTACAAATTGCTGCTAATCCTACTTATCATGAGAGAACCAAGCATATTGAACTTGATTGTCATATTGTTCGTGAGAAGCTTCAAGCCAAAGTCATTCATCTTCTACCAGTGCGCTCTACAGACCAACTGGCTGATGTCTTCACCAAACCCCTCCATCCCACACGTTTTCATGATCTCATTTCTAAGCTTGGCATGAAAAATATCCATGCTCAAGCTTGCGAGGGGGTGTGAAGTGTATATTAACATTTTTGTTATTTAACTAATTCTGTTATTAATATGTATTTTGTTATAGATAAAGCTTCTTGTATATATATGACTCTTCCTTTAATGAAAAGCAAGTCAGTTCATTTTTCCACAATTAGTGACAAATTAGAAATTAATACTTTATTTATCTCAAATATTAGTCTACTTTAATTTTTATTCTTTTTGAAGTCAAATTTAATATTTGGAAAAATCATAGAAAAGCCTCGTGCAAAGAAATTAATACTCCTCCGGTCCTTAATATAAGACCCATTTAACTAATTTGATTAGATTAAGGAGGTTAGGTAAGTTAGTTAAGTATAAGAAAAGTGACACATTTTTCCTAAAACATCATAATCATTTTTCTTAATACCCCCTCTCCCTCTTCTATTTGATCATGGTTGAAGGAGTATTCATAGGGGTAATTTAGAGAAAATTGATAAATATGGGAAATGGGACTTATATTTAGAACCAAAACCAATTCAAGAATTGGGTCTTATATTAATATTAAAGACAAGAGGAGTAACTAATAGTTTTACTAAAATTGAGTTATTACCCGTAGAGGTCACATCAAAAGACTTTGGCCACATACATCAACCCACGAACAATATCGAGAATATAGACGTCAACCTGTAACGGGCACGGGTCGTCACAGGTGTTTTATGCGCAGGTTCATCAAATTTTACGTATCCTCGAGTTACTTTATAGAATTACACAAAAGATAAAGTGAGAATTTCTTTGTGTCCTGTGATAATTTACAATTCTTCCGCCAGTACTTATATGTTAAATTGAGATACTTACTTACAATACATTGATGCTATTTAAAAACACACATTTTCAATGCATAAAAGATGAAATTTTTGGAGTTTTAATTTGAAGCAAATCTCTCAAAATACCATTTTGACATATATTTGGAGCATATTTTTTTGGTCAATATATTTGTAGCATAGCATGAGGACGGCAAGTACAGAGGCTTTGAGGGAGTTTTAATTTGAAGCTAAATTTCTTCTCGTTTTTCACTTCTTAATTTCTTGTTATGTTCTTTATTATAATTTGGATTGTATTAATTACCATTTTTATTGTGATATTTGCTTTTTATGAGTTCCTAAATTTTACAGCGGAGTATAGGAATAATGTTTTAAGATTGCATTGGGAAAACTAAAGTTTTATTTCTTGCGTTTTTTACTCTTTTTTTTCATGTTGAACTGTATCTTTTTAATTTTATTCATTTTTCTTGAGCTTCATGTTGATTTTATAACTGTGCATAATTTACTTTAATTTATGAATGATTTCGATAAGCTGAGCGGTAAAGGGTGAACCTAAATATAGAAAAATAATAGACGCAAATAACTAAATTATATAAAGATAATTCTATGAATTTCTGCTAATAATCTCATACCGTGAGGTGAATCCCGATCATCCAATGCTTAATTAGTGATTGAATCTGCTTAAATCAATCATCAATTTATTATTTTATACTTCAGCTCAAATTCGACTAGCGAAAACTGTGTCTCCTCCTTTTAATACGACACTCGATATGAATTACTACTATTTCGTACGTTTGTTAGCTCAATATCAAAACGTGAAGCTCATTCCTCTGGATTATCCAGATTTAATTTCATTTTTATTTTTATTTCTTTAAAATAATTATTTTAATTGGTATAGAAGAAAAATAAAGATAATCTATGATATCTTAATTATTACAATCCATGAAAAATTAGTAATGGTCATCAGAAGATTGTTACTCAGTTTGTGACAAATATACGCAGTCAACTCGCTCCACTAAATGTTTGACAGAGTGTTGGACTGTGAAATAAAGAATGAGAAATACTAATAATGGTCTAAGCATCAGATTAATTACCACCCAATATATAACAATAAACCCTTACAAATGATATTTAAAAAAAAAAGGGAAAATACGCTGCTTTAAATTTCACACCATAACCAAAGAGAAAAAAGAATGACATATAGCAGCATAAAACTTCCTAACGCACAGAAATACGAGTATGCAACATAATTGAAGCCATTATATATATATATATATATATATATATATATATATATGCGTCTGAGTACTGCGGACCACATCAAGCAACGAACGTGGAATGAACACAGTAATTAAGAAGTGAACATATTTCTGAGATTAATTAGAAGGAGGAGGGGAAAGGAATGGGATGGAGGGCATAGTCGTAGGGATAGTGGGAATAGAAGGAATATTAGGCAGTGGAGGAAGTGTGGCCTGTGGGACTGTTGGAAACTGAGGAATAGAGGGAAAAGGAGGAAGTGCATTGGGTTTTGGCATATTTGGGAGATTTGTAGGCAATGGTGGAATATTGCTTGGGATTGAAGGCAAAGGTGGCAATCCTGTAGGTTTAGGCAAGTTACTTGGAATTCCAGGCATGTTTGGTATCGAAGGCTGTGTTGTTTGAAGAAGACGACGAGCTTCTAGGCCGGAACTCATCATCATGCTTGACACAGTAAGAACCAGAAGGAAAGTTTCGACGATGGACCTCCCAGAAGAAGAAGCCATGGCTGAGTTATGATGAGAAGAAGAATAGAGGAAGATATGTGAGAATGCTTTGGTTCGAGTTTTGATGAGAATCCATGGGGGTTTTTTGGTGTTTATATAGATAGTGGTAGGTAGGAGAAGCTTGGATTGGAGAACGTACCATGAAGACCGTTTGACATGTTCTGGTAGTTCACCAATTCTGCGTCTGCTTTTTGGTTGGACTAATATATGGTTGGTAACCACCTCTGAACAGTCAAAAGCAGAAAAATAATATTTAATCACTATTGTTACAAAATCATTTTTTAGGCACATTATTAATATTAATTCTTTTATTTGCAATTCTTGGTTGTAAGAGCTTAATTATATTAATCATTATCACTCCCGTTTTTAGTGCATTAATAGAACAATTTCAAGCACCATGATGGAAATTAAAGCTTTCTTCTAAAACTTATCTCCAATAATAATAATGATAATGCTCTCAATCAAACTTCGGATTATTTCAACATTAAACACACTGAAATTTCATCTCATGGACTAATAGACTTTCTAATCAATAGTTAAATGATTCAATGTTAGGAGCTGTTTCTAACAAGGACCATGATTCGTCTCTGGAGAATGCGGAGAATTTAATCTCCACCATTCATTTAACGTGCCTTTGAGATCGTCCCCCGGGGCATTTTTCTGTTTTAATCTGGATCGTTCATTTTTATTTTAATATCAACCGTCTGTTTCATTGTGTTCTTTAATATATGAAGCAGGCTTTTATCTCCTTAAGTAAGACGATTCAACATTATATTTAAAATTAATAACTAGGATTAATATTATTTTAAATCATAAAATCTGACCTCATTTTGGTTTTAATTCTTAAAATTTAAAATCAATAATTTTGATCATTGAAATCTTGTTTTAGAGACTAAAAACACTGTTCTAAACCAAAAATCTGTAGGGAAATCAAAATGACGTTAAATTTTAAAGCCCAAAACTGCTAGTATTAAATTTTAAGGATCAAAATCGAAATAAAGTTAAATTTCATAGACTGAAAATGATATAACCCTAATAATAATTATAATCCTAATAATAGTTAATAACATATTTGTCTTAAATATGTCTCTAAATATTTCACTCTCCTTGAAAGTCGACTTCAATTTTTTTTTTGTTTTCGAGGAAAAAGTACAAATTAATATTATTTGGACAATCTCTCTCTCTCTCTCTCTATATATATATATTAAAGACTAAAAAAAAATTAAAACATAGACGTTTCAACTTTCAAGTCCTGTCTAGATGATTTTTTAAAAAAATAAAATTTTTAATATTTTATATCTTGTTTTAGTTTCGAATATAAATCTTGTTTTCGTTTCCAAAATATTAAAACGTAATTTGGATGAAGAAAAAAAGTCAAGGAATGTCCAAATCTCATTAGTAAAATTTAAATAAATTTATGGAATGATATTTATCATAAAAAATGGCATTTAGAGACCAATCTAGGAAATTAATTATATTTAGGGATCACCAATTTGTCAATTTTTTTAAGTAAATAAATAAAAATGAAATTGTTGATGGAGTTTGAGATCTTGTCCCACGTAGAATCATCCACGGCACTTGATTCAAGTGGCACTTGTAATGATGGACAAGTAGGAGGTCCAATGACTAAAGAAGCCCCATGAAGGACTAGATGTTTAATTTTTCCACATCTAATTAGTTTATTTTGTGCTTTATTTGTTTAATTATAATTTTTCATATTTAGAGGATTTTCAGTTAAATCCTTCGAATTATCTATTAAATGTCATATATTATCTTGTAAAATTCGTTGGATATATTATTTTAAATATATAAGTTTTCAAATACAAATCTCAATGATATCATAATATCTTGTTAATATGTTATAATATGTTTAATTTAATTTATGTAGATGCCATTTTATCCTCCATATATTTTTTTTTCAATTTTTTATTTAGGGTCAAAATTATTTTCAATATTTTTTTATTTCGGGTTAAAATTAAATTTTGTCAAAACGATCGACCAAATTGTATCTAGTTATTTGTAAGGTATATACTGAATTTCTTTGTGAGTTTTATACTTCTTGCTTTTGTGTTCTTGATAAAATAATTCTAGGTTGCAACTATAATTAATACAAATACCGAGGACTATAATTAATATAATGGTTAAATAAGTCTCAACAGCGAAGAGAGGACATGTAACTGCATTATTGTATAATAAGCCACGGTCTACATATGGTCCCCATAACATAAATTTCACACACAACCAAAAGGAAAACAACAAAAACAAATGACATATAGTCGTATACAACTTTTCCTCACACATCCATAAGTAGAAGACAAAGCAAATATTAAAGCCAACAGATATGAATTACATATAGAGGTGATGACATGAACCGTGCATGTTCAGATATTAATTAGAAGGAGGAGGAGAGAAGAATGGGATGGAGGGAATATTAGTTGGCATATTGGGAATAGAGGGCATGTTTGGGAACGAGCTTATAGATGGCAATGGAGGAAGAGTAACTTGTGGGACCATTGGAATGGTAGGCATAGGAGGAAGATTTGGGATGCTAGTAGGCAAAGGAGGAACATTGTTTGGCTGAGGAATTGTTGGGATTGAAGGCATAGGCAAGTTACCTGGAATTCCAGGCATGTTTGGGATCGAAGGCTGTGTGGTTTGGAGAAGACGACGAGCTGCTAGGCTCGAACTCATCATGCTTGATAATGTGAGAGTCAGAAGGAAAGTCATGAGGATGGAGCTCCCAGAAGAAGCCATGGCTGGATTATGAGGTTTAAGAGTGAAGAAGACAATGCAAGAAGATGAAGATATGCTTTAGTTTGAGTTCTGATGAGAATGTGGATGAGGTTTACGGTCTTATATAGATAGAGGCAAAGATAGAACTTCTAGGGTTTGGAGAACCATAAAGGCTCAGATATTTTGTTAGTTCACCAATTTTCCTGTATGGCATGTAGTCTCTTTGTGGTTGGATTGATTAGGTTGGTGGTTATTATTTAACTCTCAACTTTCAAGCGTAGGATGGCCAACTAAATAGTATAATTTCAGTTTAGACGGAAAGGGGAAACAAAAGCTTCTTATAATAATAATAATATCATCAACAACAATAATAATTGACTTTGAGTAAAAACCACGTTGAGTTGGTAACTTGCCCTAATTAAATGAGTTTATAGTAACCTTTAAAAAGATTAATTTTTATAGCCAATTATGCTTCGCCAAAGGAAAAAAAATGCATATAACAAATGAGATTTTTTTCAGCTATTGTGTAAATTGCACTTTGTTCACTTGACCTTTTGAACGCATTGTTGAGAAATTTTTGAGTTATGTCCAATTTAACGAAGATATATTGACATATATTAATGCTTAATTAGAATAAAAATGCCTCTACAATTTAAAGAAGATCATTTTATTTTTTTTAATATGTCCAATATTCTCCGTCTTCATGTTACTCATGTTATATTAATCATGCTTTATTTTTAACTATCTCTTCATGCTTAATTTTTCTCATGTTGAATGAACCATATTTTGGCGGAGTAGAGCAATGTTACTTAAGTAGTCACTGATTGTGAGTACTCCCATTAGTTAGACTAGTATTTGTTTTGAGAAAAATTTCATTAGACAAATTTTGTGGAAGCGTATTGAGTTAAAGGATACTATGCTAGAAATAACTTTCTATTTTTTCACTTTCAAAAATTGTGAAGTTCTGTTAAGCGTATCAAGTTATGAATCCTATAGACTCATAATATTATATTGGTACTTTTATTGAAAGATTATAACATCACGAAGAGGGCTGCTAATAAAAAAAAAATTCTGAATTCTGATTGTCAATGTTGAGTAAAACGCCCACAATAAAACCCACAAATGCCCATGTTGTGGATATTGCTTTCTAATTCATGAATCGACAATCATAGACAAATTAAAGTATGTAATTAAGCTTTAATTACTTATAAAATTTAATGAAATTTAGTTATCTAACTTGATTTAATAATATGGTGTTTAATCTGTGGCACTAGTGCTGTATAAGTTCGGCAAGACTCAGTTATTCGTTATTACACTGTGTTTAATCTTTTTGCACTTATTTTGTTTTGGCCAAAAGCTGAAATATTAATTCATTTTATTTCTGCACTTGGTTCGGTTTTGTTGCGTTGCTTTTATTTTGCCACATTTGATTAATTGACTTGTTGAAATAACTACGTGATAAGACGTATCCGTCTTATGTTTTTACCAAAGAAAGAACCAAAAATTTGAACCCTCAACAAATGGCTTTGCCTATTTTGAAGGTTAAGCTGACGTCCTTAGTTGTTATCAGACATGTTGATGGTTCAATAAAGCTGATAAATACCGTTAAAGAAAGCTCTTTTTCTAGCATAGTGAGGGAAGATCAAGGAACATCATCGATTGCATTATATTATTGTATCATAGTAGGTCATAGAAATACATGTAAAAAAAAAAATACAAACTGTTCTAAATTTCACTCCAAATGAGAAGAGAAGAAAATAACATATAGCCAAGTGCAACTCTTCCAAATATACAGACACACGAGATAAAGCATTCGAACCAAAACAAGTGAAATTCTACGTAGGTATATATTCCGGCATGCTGCTGAGTACTAACGAACAAATCGCAATATAGACGAGAAAGTGAAAACCATGTTTTGTGATATTAATTGGAAGGAGGAGGAGAAAGGAAAGGGACGGAGGGGATAGTGATAGGGATTTTGGGAATAGAGGGAATGTTAGGCAACGGAGGAAGTGTGGCCTGTGGGACTGTTGGGATCTGAGGCATAGAAGGAAGAGGAGGAAGTGCATTGGGTTTTGGCATATTTGGAAGATTTGTAGGCAATGGAGGAACGTTACTTGGGATTGAAGGCAAAGGTGGCAATCCTGTAGGTTTAGGCAAGTTACTTGGAATTCCAGGCATGTTTGGTATCGAAGGCTGTGTTGTTTGGAGAAGACGACGAGCTTCTACGCTGGAACTCGTCATAATGCTTGAGAATGTGAGAACCAGAAGGAAAGTTACGAGGATGGACCTCCCAGAAGAAGCCATGGCTGAGTTATGAGAACAAGAAGAAGAAGAGACTATAGGAAGATGGTAGCTAAATTTGATGAGCTTTGATCGATGAGAATCCATGGGGGTTTCATGGTGTTTATATATATAGATAAAGGTAGGTAAGAGGGAAATGTAGTTTGGAGAACCATAAAAGAGACTTTGAAATGTTATTGTTAATTAGTTGGCCAAACTCATGGTACATTTGGCATTTTCACATTTAAGTGAACAATGAATTCAGCACATCAACAGCTTAAGTATTATTCTTTAAGTAAAAAAGTCTTTCTACAATTATATGATAATAATCCCTCCCGTCTTAATTTGACAAAATTAATTTCACACATTTTAATAAGTGACATCTTTGAACTTAAAAAAATGTTTGATTTTTCAATTTTGTCCATCGTTAAAAAAAAAATTCTATTCAGGAATTAAAAGCATACCAATTGCTGTAATTAATGAGGACTAAAATTTTTAAAAAAAACATGGAAAAATCACGCACAAGTCCCAAGGAGTAGAATTTAGTCATTTAAGATCCTACAAAATGTCAAAATTAATAGCAGGTCCCAGGGGACCTTAGAGTTAGGAGTGTTCAAGGCCGGCCCGTCCCGATCGGCCCATTCCGGTCCCGATTTTATTGGGACGAGACGGATCCGTCCCGAAATTTTTCGGGATGGGACAAACCGAGACGGGACAAAAAAGGGACCGGGATGGGACGGGACACGGGACGGGGTCGTCCCGTCCCGGTCCTGTCCCGGTTCTTTTTTTTAATTTTTTTAATTTTTTATCCTATTTATATAATATCATTTTTTTCATATTTTTTTAAGATTTGAGACTATTGTATGGAACTATAGATATATTTATTTAGAGTTTTTATATTTGTTAATGATTTGAGATTATTGATTATTAGAATTTTTAGCAAGTTTTTATTGTGTTAAAAGCTTTTGTTTAGAGTTTTTAATGATTATTATATGTAATATTTTGAGCTTTTGTTTAAGAGTGCCCAAACAAATAAAAAAAAATAAAAAGATGTTTTTTATAAGGTTTAAGCCCAAAAAAATATAATTAAAAAATTCAGATTTTTTAAAAAAATTTAAAATTTAAAAAAATTTAAAAAAATGTTCGGGACGTCCCGGATCCGTCCTGTCCCGACCGGGACCAGGACAACCCCGGGACGGGCCGAGATACGGGACAGAAAATCTGTCCCGTTACTGTTCATCGGGACGGAACCGGGACGGGTTTATCCTGGTCCCGATCCATCTCGTGAATAGCTCTACTTAGAGTATTATATTGTAATTGTAAAATGATATCATTACCCCTCAGGTTTCTAATTCACAGTTTTCTCTACCATTGCGATTGACAATCTTAGTTACGAGTATTAGCAACCCAATAGGAAGCTGTTGACAACCTAAACAATATTCCCTGACAACTTACTTTATAGGAGGATTACATAACCTCCACATAAAAGTAAATTATACCCAAATAGTATAATACAACAACTTTAACACTGAAATAGGAAGTTTTTTGAAGGCATTAAAAACTTTAACTAAATCCAGTAAGATTATAGTAGAATTTTAATGCGAAGATCCATTGACAACTTCAACGACAAGTATTAACAACCCAAGGGGAAGCCGTTGACAACGTAGGTAGTTTTTGCTGATAACTAATTTTATAGGATAACACAACATAGCCATGTTTGATTTTTATAATAGTATTAAACGTAACGTTTTTTCTTTTTTTATTGGGAAGGTATTACATGACTAGATTTAGATTTGAATGAATAATAATATCATTTTCGATCATTTGACATATACATTAGCCTATTAGGTGGAGCAAACTTCTTTTTGAGGGAGGAAAAGTTTTAAATTATAGCAATCTTTGATGAGTGTATATTTTTGGATGTTGTAGATGAAAATTCACAACTAACAAGGATTGGTCTAATAGAAGAATAACATGTGTAAGTGGAATTTACTTATTTTAATTTTGAAGTAATGTTGTCTGCTGTCAATTGTTCTTCTTAGTTTGTCATTTGAGTGGTCAAATATTATCATTAACAACTCTATGACTTGTCTTATTATGTAGGATGGGAGATTTATTCAAAGGTTAAAATGCATTGTCTATGTCTCTACTGAATGTGTTGGGTGAAGACCTACCATTATTACCATGTGGTTCACAAATAATGTCAACACTTATTTTTGAAATGAATTCGACAAAATAGAAGGATTTGGTTATTAGAGAGGACAAATTTTTCTCAATGTAATGGCCCTTCGGAAAACACTATATAAGTACAGTATTGCTATGAAGTTTTCATACAAATGATTTCAGTGTTAAAGTTGTTATGTTATATTATTTAGTTATAATTTGATCTTATGTAGAAGTTATATTATCCTATAAGGTCAGTTGTTAACAGACACTAACTAGGTTGTCAACAGCTCCCTTTTGGTTGTTAACACTCACCGTTGAGGTTGTTAATGGATCTTCCCATTAAAACTCTGCTATAATTCTATTAGGTTTAGTTAAAGTTCTTAATGCCTTTAAGAAGCTTCCCATTTCAGTGTTAAAGTTATTGTATTATACTATTTGGTTATAATTTACTCTTATGTGGAGGTTATGTGATCTTATAAAGTAAGTTGTTAGCAAATACTATTTAGATTGTCAACAGCTTCCCACTAGGTTGTTAATACTCACCGTTGAGATTGTGAATCGCACTTGCAGAGAAAATTATGAATTAGAAACCTAAAGGGTAGTGATGTCATTTTACAATTATAATATAATACTCTGAAGTCCCTTTGGACCTGCTATTAATTTTAATATTTTGTGAGACCTTAGATGAATAAATTCTACTCCTTACCTTAGAACCTGCATAATTTTCCCAAAAAAATTAACCCCCATATCTTTGTCCTATATTTAACATTAAGTAAGGCTATGAAATTTTGCGGTACAATTAAGATCACAGGGAGTGTATATACATGTATATGAATTTTTTTGTAAGAATTAACCGAAAAACTCAGATTTTCTATTCAGAAATGAAAATTATAAGAGATTGTACTTTAAATAAGGAATTTTAGAAGTTAATTTAAAAAAAAAATGAAAATATGTAGTACTCCTTTAGTCCTTAATATATGACCTATTTAACTAATTTGATTAGATTAAGAAGTTAGGTAAGTTAGTTAATTATAAGAAATATGACATGTTTTTCTTAAAACACCATAATCATTTTCTTAAACATCCTCCCTCCCTCTTCTACTTAATTATATGGTCGAGGAAGTATCTATAGAAGTAATTTAGGAAGAAATGATAAATATGAGAAATAGATCTTATATTTAGGATCAAAATTAACTCAATAATTTGATCCTATATTAAGGACCGGAAGAGTATAAAATTATAATTAAAATTAAAAAGACTAGAATTATCCGAAAACAAATAGCATACCTCAAAGTCTTGGGTTTGGGTGTCTTAAATTTACGGAGGAAAGCTTTTCCAATTCCAATAAATCTAGACCAGTCAATACAGTAACAGCAGGTTCGACGCTTTTATGAAATCATCTTTTATTTCTTGATTTCTCACACAAGAAATTTTTTTTGCAAAAAATTGTTTTATGATGAACAGAAAATTGAATTTTAATTATCACAGATATTTAATAATTTTGAGTAAATAATTTTTATGAAGAATGATAAAAAAATGATTTCTAAATTTCAAAATCTCCAAATGGTCACCTGAGTAAGCAAAATTTTAGTTTAGGTATAAGTGACCAAATTAAAATTTGCAAATTGCTGAAATAACTATATTTTCGTTTATTAAAAAAAAACAACGACCGGTCTTTGGAGCTTCGTTGTTAGCAAGGCTGGTATCCATTTTTTGGTGGATTTTTTCAAGTTTCTTACAAGAAGTTTTTCAAGAAATTTAAAAAGTGGCATTTTCACAATTTCAGTAATTTGGTTAACAAGTTCTGTACCACTACTAACAAGTTTGGTATAGCAGTTAACAACAGGTTTTGTAAAAAATTTAAAAAGTGGCACTTTTACGACTTTAATGATGCGGTTAACAAGTTATGTACCGATATTAATAATTCTCATAACAACATTAACAAAATTTCCCTATGAAAGTTAATGTTTTTAATATTGGAGCCCTATGAAAGTTGTACAACAAAATTTTTCCATTTATTAGGCAGTTACTATAGTTATAAGAGTTATTAATATCATTACATGACTTGTTATTAGATTTGTCAATAGCATTATGATAGTTGTTAATATTGTTACATGACTTGTTAATTAGCTTATTGAAGTTGTAAAAATATTACTTTTTGAATTTTTTAGAAAGCTTATGTTAAATGTTATACCGAACTTGTTAACCACATTACTAAAATTATAAAAATGTTATTTTTTGAATTTCTTAAGAAATTTGTTGTTAACTACTATATCAAATTTATTAATAACATTAAATAACTTGTTAATCCCATTACCAGACTTAAAAAAAATTCTAAAAAAATAGTTGTTGGCTGCTGAAGCTCTAGCAATCATTCATCAGAGCTCTAGTGATCAGTAGCCGCCATTGGTACTAGAGCTCTGGTGGTGTGTTTTTCTTCAAAAAAAAAAAGGACAACATGATTATTTTAGGAAATTTGCAAATCCTAATTTGGTCACTATAATGAAACTGAAATTTTGGTTATTTAGATGACCATTTGGGGCTTTCATTATTTAACTATCATTTTTTTTTGTCTTTTTCCCAATTTTTCTTAATTTAATTGTGGGAGAACTGCATATTGGAGTTGGTCTTACTTTCTTTTCCTTTCCCCTATAAGTTATAACTTATTGGCCCCTTCACAAGTTTTTGGGAGAACTATACTTAGTTTGCCTCCTCTCTATGATTTCTATTAAGTAGAACTATTGTGACCGGTCTAAACTTTGACCCTTAATTCGAAGAATGACACTTTAGACCTTGAAAGTCACTTAATGACACTTAAGACATTAAATTTTTAAAATACCATGGTCTCTTTAAGCAATAAAAATTTATTTGGGAGAATTAATAT